CCACGCCGACAACAGCGCGCCGACAAAACCGCGGCTCTAAAACCGCGATGTCAAAACCACGCCGACAACAGCGCGCCGACAAAACCGCGCCGACGAATGAGCGCTGAAGCGCGCCGACAGAAGCGCGCTGTAACCCTAACCCTAAACCTAACCCTAAACCTTACCTTAACTTAAATCGCGCTTTTGTCGGCGCGGTTTTGTCGGCGCGCTGTTGTCGGCGTGGTTTTGACATCGCGGTTTTAGAGCCGCGGTTTTGTCGGCGCGGTTTTGTCGGCGCGCTGTTGTCGGCGTGGTTTTGACATCGCGGTTTTAGCGCCGCGGTTTTGTCGGCGCGCTTTTTACGTTCGCACATTTGTCGGGTCACGGCAGCAAACCATATCAACCTTTAGCACCAATCACTGGTATTTGTAATGCATTTTTGAATGTTCAATTGGCTAAGTTTCATGTTTAATGAATAAAGTAAACAACAACAACAACAATGTGTGATGGGACTATTTCAAGATTACATTGGATGGAAGTATTCGTCTTCAGTGAATGTTGTTGGTTTCAGCTGCCAGTGGCTTCCTTGTTCTCCCTCCAAGACATGTTACAGCAATTGGAACATTCTGTTCTCCCCTAAGGGAGAAACACCTATTGGTGTTTATTCCCTTTTGACTGAAAGGGAACTCAGGGAACTTAATTCAAATATGTTGCTGTGGGGGATATTCTCTCTGCTTATTTGGTTAAGAATTATTTTGATTCTGGAGAGGAATCAGAGGCCTCTCCTTCAAAACTAGCATTTGGTGGAATACTTAGTGATGCATTCAGTAACGTCACATTAATTTCCAAAGAATGATCAATACAGAAATCTAGATTCCTCCTGAGAATGCATTTATTTTTCCTTAAGAATAAAAATCTTCATTTTCCTGACTTCCTTTCCTTCTTTTGCTGCAGTTTAGCTTGGAGGAAAAGCATTCTTTCATATAGTCCCTATCAACTGCTTTGAATTATGGTTAGTTTGTCAGCTCTAAGCATAGATTTCCCATAGTAGGTTTGTTTGGTTTCAGACCTCAGAAACATGAGACAGACAAGGGACTAAACTGGAGATCTCCTTAATCAATGGTTTAGAGGAGTGAATAAATTCACCTTTCAGTTTCTCTCTCTCTTCCTTTTGTAGGTTATGTCTGTGTTACAAGATTTAGTGGATGAGACTAGCCACTGGAAATCAGCCACAAGCAACTTGGAGGATGAAGTAAAAAAAATCAAGGAGCACTTAGCTGTGGTAAGCAGCTTTTATTTTGCTCTGTTGGCCCTGCAAGCCTTTGGGAGTTTACTGCATATGTTCAAGACTTAGTTGTTTAGTTCTTTCTTAAAACCTCAGGGATCTAGATTTTACCACTTAGGTGGTACTGACTAGGTAGTGTCTGCACTCACTTCCAAATGAAGACACACATTCATGCACATGTAAACACATATAAGGAACAACTGTATTGGGCTTAATTCCTATATAGAGATCAAGGGTAGGTTGAATTCTCTTTTTCTTTTCAACAAAAAAATAAAGGTTTTACAAATCAGGGTAGGAGCAACAGTTCAAATGCTTTGTTTTGTTTTTTGGGCCTGAAATCACAGGAGTCCAATTCATACAAAAAAGTACAGGTAATCCTTAACTTATAACCATTCATTTAGTGACTGTTCAAAGTTACAACAGCACTGATAAAAAGTAACTTATGACTATTTTTCACACTTCATATTTACCATTGCAGCATCCCCGTGATCAAAATTCAGAAGTTTGGCAAATGGTTTGTATTTATGACGGTTGCAGGGTCCTGGGATCATGTGATCTCCTTTTGTGACCTTCTGACGAGCAAAGTCAATAGGGAAGCCAGATTCACTTAACAGCCGGGTTAGTAAGAACTGCAGTGATTCACTTAACAAACTGTGGCAAGAAAGGTTGTAAGATGGGGCAAAATTCGCTTAATTAATGTCTTGCTTAACAGCATAAAATTTGCACTCAATTTTGGTCATGTCAAGGACGACCTGTCCACTGAGTTCATGATTTTTCCAAAAATTCCTAGGGCAGGGTATACGTGCACATTTTGGCAAAAGTAGTGAGGGATATAAACTGTCCTACAACAGCCCTGAGTGATCAAGTCCCTAAACAATTTGGTGTGTTTGTGTGTAAGTACACAATAGAGTTTCCCTTGTCTGAAAATTGAAAAGAAATTATTTTATTAATACTGCATTGTTGGAACAACTGTAGGTCAGAGACCTCCAAACTCTTCAGTTCCTCCCCCCCTTCATGAAATTTCATATTGTTCACTGAGTTTCAAATATTTATTTTATGAAAATAATGTAACAAATAGTACTTTAATTAATAGTACTATGAACAACAACAACAATGATAATAATTGGTGCCTTGGCCAATATCACCTTTAACAACATCAAATAATATTTGCCTATTCCAGGATTTTGGGAAAGACTCCAGGGGTGAATAAAAATGCAAAATCCAGCCTAACCATTTGGTTGACTATGGGACCAACCATAATAATAATGACTACATGTGGCAGTCATTGGCTGTAAAAAAAGCCAAGCACCCTTGCTAAAAGAAGTCAGTCAAAGAAAGCTCTTGAAAATGATAAAGGTGAAAGCTGAATCTTGAAAAAAAATATGAAAATGAATTTGTTAATTGGAAGGACAAGCCAACGGCCAATACTTGAAGGATATTGAAGAAAAGTGGATTTTAAAAATCCACATGGTTAAGATCAAGAGCATTAAAAAAAAGAAAGTGAGGCTTTATTTTAGCTGCTTAAGGTATGTCAATTAATTGCATGAAGGTGAATATATTGCTTTTCTGGTGATCAAGGGCTGCAGCAAAATTTTACAAAGTGACTACAAGCAAGAGTTGTAAATTATTTATTGGAAACTTTTGCCACAAGTTATAGTAAAAATGTCTGGGACCATTATATTGAGGTTTTGGAAAATGACCAGGTTAAAATTTTATGGGACTTTAAAATCCAAACAGACGTGCATCTTGTTCATAACATGGTTGATATAAAATAGTTCTTGAGAAGAAGAAAGTCTAGTTCATTATAACAGTAATACTACCAGTAGGATTGAGGGGAAACAATTGGAAAAATTTACAAAAACTGGGATCAAAGTTGAACCCTTATGGAAAAAGAAATTTGTTGTTATACCAATTGTGATGAGAGTCATCGGAGCAATGCCTAAAATATTCCCTCGTTATCTGTCAATATTGAATTTATCAAACCCAAACACAGAAAAATAACACCCTGCTTGGAATTGTTTATATTCTTAGACACTATTTATATTGGTAGTTGTTTATATTTTTGAGTAATAATAAATGAATTGTACTCTAGAGCTGTTCCTTGAGACCAATTTATCTCCTGATGCTTGTTTTCTTTGCACTCTGGGATTGAAGATGTTTACTCTCCCCTCCAATTTATAAGAGAAAAAAATGGCCCCCAGAGCCACTTACTTTAACTTAGCAATTCTTTGTTTGTTCGTTTGAATTTTCCCTGTGTGATATTTAACTTACCTTTATGGCATGTTTAGTACTTATTCATAATCACATCTTACATTTGAATAAAAAGGGTAATCCAAACTTTTATTTCATTTTGCAGCTAGATCCTCGTGGGTTTGATGATCGTTTAAATGTTTGCCTGAGCGATCAGAGTAGCTTGGATCAGGATTTGGTATGTTCTTACCTTCTATAAAAAAGTAATTTTTGTACCAGTTCACACACACCCCTGGTGAGTGTGTAGAATCTGAAGTATCTGAAGCAGTTTATCTAGTTGCCCCAGTTGCTCTGTGTTAGTACATCTTTCATCCTGGTCTGAAGCCCTTTCAGTGTGCAAGCTTAGCATTGTTATTCTCTTGCATTATCAGGTTCACTTTATAGAAAGCTGTCAGAGTTCATGCAGATGAACTCTGACAGCATCCTCCAGTGCTTCTGCTGCAAATTAATGGCATGAGAAACTCCACATCTTGTTTGTGATCTCCAGGTTCACTGTTTACAGCACTCTGAATTGCTACGTAGTCATTTTTTGGGAAAAGTCTCAGCACATTGGCAGGTCCTAACAAAGCAAGGCTGTCATTCATTCAGATAATCTTCTCCATGTTTTCTTTTATTATGAGGTCATTGTACCAATAATATGATTTTGGAATTGGCATTATTTTCATTATTACAACTGACAAAAGTATGTGTTGCATATTTGAGTCATGACATCATGACATATGTGCTTTCAGGGATGTCTGTGATGATAATCCCTGCTGATGGTCTTAAATTAGATTTAACAAAAAAAAGAACAAGGAACTGAGAAAAAAAGGACAATACGTCCTGGAGCACCTAATTGCTGGATGATTTGCTTCCTAATTTGATGCTGTTATCTAAAGTAATTCCCTGGGCTTCCAAATTCCTAATTAAGAAGGAATGATGGTCAACAGAATGTATGGGACAGAGAGGATAATTTTCATATATTTTGGGTTTGATTCTTTTCTAGAAAGATTTAGAGAGAAGGTTAAACCAATTCCCATCTCCAGAAGAAATGGTACGGTGGGGAGTTCTTGAAGATATCCTTGTGAAGGGCAAGAGCCCATCTCCTGTGAGTATGGTTTAGTTAGAATGTCATGTTTCCATAATGGATTTATGTGAAAATAAGCTGTGATAAACATAGGTTATCAACTTGTACCACATTTGGAGAAAGAAAAAATCCCAAAATAATTTGATATTTGATGCTGTTGCCTATTTTCTTGTACATTACAAATTTAATTGCTCTTTCTGATATGAAAAAGTTATCACACATGAACCGTGCAATCTCTCTCTCCTTAATTCTTGAAGAAAGAAGGAACCTTCCATATTATTCATCCAACAATTTGTAAGTACAGTATAATGCCCAAAATTTATAGAGAGATATAAAGGACAACATTTGTCCTCTTCCAGTCGATTGGCACTTCACTATTTCTCCAAGACCTCTCATATCAATACATAATAGTTTGCTCTGGCTGTCAGCAAATTGCTTTAATACTCTTAAAATAAGATTAATCTGGATGTTGACATTTAAACTAATTAGAAATAGATATTCCCTAATATATTTCTATCAGTCTTAACATTCAACTCTACCTCTTCAACTGCTCTTTGTATTTGCATGAAGGAACAAATGTGCTTTTGCTGGTCAAGGCTGAACCGAAAGTAGAAACTGAACTGTTTGGGGTTTGTTCATTTTTTTGCTTTGTTTTTCACATTTTATTATCTCCCTTTTTAAGGAATGGGGTACTTTTTGCAGTCTTTATCCAATAGTTGCTGCAATAATTCTTTTCTCTTTGTTTTGTCTATACCTAAAAAGGACTTTTTGTGGTTTTAGCATTCCTTATCAATCTTGGCTTACTCTGACCTTTACCTCCCCTTATATCTCTCCATACTTCTACACTTCCCATTCCCTCCCCCCATGGTTACCAGTCCCTTTATACTGCTTATATGCATGCTGTTTTTTAAAGCTCTTCCTCTCAACTTGAGTTACTTTTTCATTCATTTATAATTACTTTCCCTAGAATATACCTTCTATCTTCCCTAGAATATACTATAATTTCCTCAGTGAAATAATCCTAATGAGTTAGTATCAAGTTGAGGAAATTTCATCCCCCTGTCTTCTTCCCTTTGAAGGATAAACCCAATCATTTCCTGAAAGGACCATACTAGATGGAATCCATCTCCCTACAGATGTTGGGATCTGTATCCCAAATGTTGGGATAAAGTTCCTCATCAATACTATTGTGTGTTTCTTTAAAAGTACTATAATTTTCATTTTGGAGACATAACTTTCATCTCCTATTTGGTCAGGCAATAGTATATACAACATTATTACATAATAAGAGAATAGCAGAGTTGGAAGGGATCTTGGAGAGCTTCTAGTCCAAACAGGAGAACTTTTCAGACAAATGATTGTCCAATCTCTTCTTAAAAACCTCCAGTGTTGAAGCACCCATAACCTCCGAAGGTAAGTCATTCCACTGATTAATTGTTCTGTCAGGAATTTCTTCTTCTAAGCTGGTTCTCTCCTTGATTATTTCCTTCGATTGCTTCTTGTCCTGCCTTCAGGTCCCTTGGAGAATAGGTTGACATTCTCTTCTTTGTGGCCCCTTATATATTGGAACAGTGCTGTCATGTTGCCCCATAGTCCTTTTCATTAAACTAGACATACCCAATTCCTGCAACCATTCTTCATATGTTTAGCCTCCAGACCCCCAATCATCTTTGTTGCTCTTCTCTGCACACTTTTTACAACAGTCTCAACATATTTTTAATATCATGGTAACCAAAACTTGATTTAATATTCCAAGTATGGTCTTACCAAGGCATTATAAAGTGGTATTAACACTTCATATGCTCTTGATTCTGAACCTCTGTTAATGCAGCCTAGGACTGTATTGGCTTTCTTGGCAGCTGCAACACCCAGCTGGCATATATTTAACTGATTGTCCATTAGGACAAGATCCCTCTTGCAGTTATTACTATTGAGCAATATAAAACCTCTTCCATACCTATGCATTTAGTTTTTATTCCCTAAACATGATTTAGTTTTTCCCATCTTATTTTAATTCAAACATTTTCTATGATATCATCAAGCGTATTCACTTGAATTTTAACCCTACAGTGCTAAACCATACAATGTTAATTCTCTATTGCTCATTTTACTTGTGAAAGTATATCCTTCTATAGTTGCTATATTCCTGAATAAAAATCATCCTACTGAGTTGCTGTTATATCTAGAAATTATGTTTGCTTTCTTGAGGGAAGAGTTCAAAGACAACTATTTATTATACAGAGAACATTAATGTATAGATAATGAATGCACTTTGTCTTTCTATCACCAGTTCAGATGCCCTCCTACTTCTGTTGTGGATGTATACAACTTTATGGAGACTTTTAATGGATACTACTGAGTAACAGAGCATTTACAGAGGATTTCATTGAGGATGTAATTCTCTTACCCTTTCAAGTTTTCTTGATAGTTTAGAGAAAAGGTCACCTATTTAAATCAATACATTCTTTGATTGGTGTGACTGTTACTATGCCATTTAGCTTTGGGTAAATTAAAGACATGAAAATATATTGCTTGAGAGACATCTTCTCACATCGTTATTCCACTTTGCCACTGAGGACTTTAGGATAGCAATTTATTCTCACAACAGCTCTGCAAAAATGAGTGAGGCTGTAGTAAAGAGACTGCGCTAGTAAGACAGGCTGATCAAGGACTCTGCTTCTTGGTCTGAACCCTCAGTTTTATTCATTTGTGACCAAGGATCAAAAGCCATGCCAAATTCTATCTGAAATTGTTCACATTACCTATGTATGCACCTGCACTGTTTAATCATTTAGAGCTATAATAATATTGTGAGTGAAAGAAAATTGCACTTTTAAAAATATAGCTAATCTTGCCTCCTATGTAGTACTTTAATAATGTATTTTTCCTTGTCTTTCCCCTGTTATTACATTTATTCCCCTTTCCATTTTTCTTTTAGCATACAAGTCCAGTCCAACACTCTCCAACTGGTTCAACCTCACCAGAAGGCAAAACTCCAGAAACTCAGCCTGGCACTGCTTTCCAGAGAACAGGCCCAAGCCCACCAACTGGATTACCAGGGGATCAGGCAGGAACACTAGGGGCTCCAAGTGGAGCAGCGGTCCCTGGAGCACAGCCAGGCATTGCTGGGGTTCCAGGACCATTTGGACCTCAGCTTGGAGCACCTGGGACATATCCCGGGGCACCTGGAGCCCGGGCTCCCTTTCCTGGAGCACCTGGCACTTATATTGGGGTACCTGGAGCCCAGGCTCCCTTTCCTGGAGCACCTGGGGCATATGCCGGGGCACCTGGAGCCCAGGCTCCCTTTCCTGGAGCACCTGGGGCATATGCCGGGGCACCTGGAGCCCAGGCTCCCTTTCCTGGAGCACCTGGGGCATATGCCGGGGCACCTGGAGCCCAGGCTCCCTTTCCTGGAGCACCTGGGGCATATGCCCGCGCACCTGGAGCCCAGGCTCCCTTTCCTGGAGCACCTGGGGCATATGCCGGGGCACCTGGAGCCCAGGCTCCCTTTCCTGGAGCACCTGGGGCATATGCCGGGGCACCTG